CTCTCCCCCCTCTCTCTCTCTCCCTTCCTCCCACCCTTTCTGTCTCTGTCTCTTTCTCATAATAAAGTGTATCGTTTTTCCTCCTCTTTCCTCCCCATGTTGTTTCTCATGCTCACTCTTCCTCCTCCTCTTTTCCATCTGTCTTTATGGACTTTGGCAAGTCTGGCCGTTTTTTCTCCCGTTTCTGCTGCCTTTTTTCTCTTATCTGAAAACACGAGCAGAGGACTGGTTCTGGAAATGATAAAGGGAAACAAATCTTTCCAAGCTGCCTCCGGCCCACTCCTAAGAAGGGGCCAGCCAGCAAGGCCGAACAATCCAAATGGGTTTCCCAGAGTTCCAGGGAATGTGGGATGGCGACACCAACAAGGGCCCAGGGCAGGGGACACAAGGCAGAGAGACAAGTCTGCCTGTGGGAAGTTATTTTCTAAAGCCCTGGGGGTGATGGACACAACTCTTGGTTTCTGAGGAGTAGCCCTCTTAGTCTTCCCCTTTTTGCCACATCGGCGTCTTATGTCCTGCTACCCAGAAAGCAACCTGGACAATATCTCCAGGTGACGGACTCAGAGCCCCAGGCGGCACTGTCAGCAGTGACCATGGGTATCACTGACAGGAGCAGGGGAGAGAGAAAACGTGGGGATGGGTGAAGGGAAAGAAGAGCACCGTGTGTGTGATAAAAGAAAGGCTGGTGCGGCGGCAGAAGCAGCAACTGGGAATCGGGGGCCGCAGGGGAAGTCCTGTCTTTGGTACTAATTAGCTGGGGTCTTACTTCACTCACATATAAAATGAGGTTCTGAGTCTCTCAGGTCATTCCTGGCTCCGACTGCCCCTGAGGCTGGAAACTACCTCTGGGTAGTAGGAGGTAGGGCTCGAACATCTCCCTCCAGTGCCCAGAGCTGTCTACAAGGAGAGCTCCAACTGTTTCATGCTTCTGAGCCTGTTCTTACAACATTTCATCCAGCCCCCTCTCCATGTTTCCCCATCCCAAACTTCACCTCAGCACACCAGAACAGTGTAGTTCATGAAGCCGAAGCTGGTTTGGCAAAAGGAATGAGATTAGTTTGGGGATCCACACTGCGAAGTGTTCATTGGCCCTCTGATGAAGACACCAGATGACTCTTTGTGAGCCCGGCTCAGCAAGAGGCCAGAGTCCTGTGTCCAGAAGCGAGGGAACACCCAAAGACAGTCATCCAGTGGTCTCTGGAAATGACCTGTGCTTTGGGAGCTTTCTCGGGGGAAGGAGAAGCAGCCACCATATGTACCTTCCTCCTCATCTCTGTCTGACATCACAGGTACTTGCCTGCCCTCTTCATGAGGCTGTTCCATGACGTGAAAAACCCTAATAGTTACTTCCTAGAGAAGCTAGTGGCTCCCATGCACCCTCCCTGATATTTTCTGCATAGCTTTATCCATCCATCCATCCTCCACAGTAAGCATTAACACCTACTGTGTGCTAGACAGTGTTATAGTGTGTCAAGGTCACACTAGCTAACAGGGTGATGTTTATGGCTGTGTGTGCACTGCTGGCTGCAGGAAGAACAGGGAAGTTTCATTCTCCACTGGGCCTGAGTAGAGCAGCAGCAGCAACAGCACTCCTTGGATTTCTGTAGGGCATTCTTTCCTAGCAATGATTTTTAAGAGTTGGTATAATTTTCTTCACTTGTGGAAACAGAGACATAGGAACATATTTGAACATCTGGGCTCCAGTCAGTGTCTCAGCTTTATGCTTACCGGCCCTACAACTCTTCAATCCACCTTTGTGCCTGTGACCCCACACTTCCAGGCAGCTCGTGTTGAAAGACCTCAAAATAGATAATTTGTGGATGAGCATCCTCCTGAGAAAAAGATGAAACAGAAATTCAGGAGCAGGGTCAGGGTAGAGGAGGAAGCAACAAGGAGAGGCACTGTAACAGGGCAGGATGTAGCCCGATGTGTGATACGGCTTCTCCAGAACCTTCCAAACCATCCCCTTTCCTGTCTACTCTGCTTTGCCTCTGATTGTCAGCATTATTCTAAGCAAATCACGCCCTCTTTTTGAGTTCTAGTTTCTTAGTTTATGTACAATCAGAATAACCACTTAACATTTTATGGAATTAAAATGGATCACACCTGCATTTTACAGAGAGGAAAGTGAGGCTCAAACAGCTTGATTAGCCAGTCCAAGCTCCCTGAAAGAAAGTGGCCAAGCTGGGAAGGGCACCACAGCCATTGGGTCTTCAAGTTCTAAAGTTCTTTGATACTTAGAATCAGCCCAGGCTGCCAGATCCCTCCAAGGGAACCATCTCTGCCTCCCGCGTCCCTCTAAGCTATTCAACCCCCTGCCCCCATTCTTAACACTTCACTCCTTACACAAATTCCTCTGAGCCCTACTTGCTTGTTCTGCACTCAAAAAAGACATCAGAAGCACACATGGTCCTCCCCTCACCAGGCTTACTAGGTAGAGCTGAGGGGAGGAGTGATAAAGTCACAGCCCTGGCTCTATGGTGGTCGCAAGGACTTAAAACCAGTCCCACAATTCTCTAATCTATTTTTAAAATTTTCTAAGTGAAGATTTATGTATTTGCTTATGCTGATGATTCACTGGTGTTCTGCTGCAAAATGAGATATTAATTTTAAATTACCTGTTACCTACAGTCTATCATGTATTAATTTAAAGTTAATATTCCCCCAAAATGTTGTTCCTGGTCTTCCCTTCTAAAATTTGTGATCCTTTAGTCTCATGTGCCTTACCTCCTACTGAGACAGGTTGAATTGATTCCTCCCAGGAAAGCCACAGAGCATCGTCTGCTGAAGTGCATTTGGTATTGTCCACTACAACACAGCACACAGTGTGGCCACTCTTTACCCTCCTGCTGGAGGAAGGAACTCAGACTCGTGACTCTTGAGTTTATCTCTTGGTTTTCCAACTTGATTTCTTTTATGGCCTTTAATTATAGCCAGTAAAATTAGGAGACCAGCAGAACTATGGGGGCAAAGAACAAAAGAACTATATCCGCATTCCATCTGTCTTGCAAGAAGCTTGTAACGCTTGGGCCTGTGTTCATATGTGTATCTGAGTTGTGCGTGTGGGCCTGTAGTTGTATGGAATATGGAGGAGAATGGGGGAGAACCTGGGATTAGAGATGAAGGAAGGGTATTGGGAGTGTCTTTTGCTCTATATTTTTATGAGAGAAGCACAGCTAGAGTTATTATAGGGCAAGCCTATTTGTATTGAATTACAAAGGGGAGGAAAAGGAGGCAGTAATGCTCTAGCCATAGAATCCCAAGGGTGTGGAAGAGTTGGGATGTTGTCATGTGGCTGGAGATTTGCCAACTAGGCCAACACCTTGGTGACCTCACTTTCACTCCCCACATGAAGAGAGCCCCACCTCCCTCCACTTGGTGTCCTGCAAGGCCTGTGGACCAGTTTTCCGTTGGGGTCCTGGTATGTGCTGCCTGGTTATTCCTTAAAAGCTTTTCTCTTTAAGGATATGCACCTGCTTTCTGGTCTTTCTGTATGATATCTGGCCATGTATTACTTCCCCATTGCTGCTGTAACAAATTACCACAAACTTAGTGACTTAAAACTACACAAATTTACTACCCTAATAGTTCCAAAGGTCAGAAAGTACTAAATTCAAGGTGTCAGCAAAGCTGTGTTCCTTCTGGAGGCTCTGGGGAGAATTGTTCCCTTGCCTTTTCCAGCTTCTAGAGGGCCCCCACATTCTTTGACTCAGGGCCCCTTTTTCCATCTTCAAAGCCAGCATGACATCTTGAAATCTTTTTTCCTTTTTGATCTCTTTTTTGGTCATCATATCTCCTTTTCTAACTCTGACCCTCCGGCCTCCCTCTTAAAGAGCTCTTCTGATTACATCAGGCCCATTCAGGTAATCCAAAATAATCTCCCCACCTGAAGATCCTTAACTCAGTCACGTTTGCAGGATTCCTTACAACATGTAAGGTAACATATTCACGAGATTAAGATGTTGACATTTTTGGGATGCCATTCTTCTGCATACCCCCAGGAATTCTGATGTTATTGTCCTGAGGGAGGAAGTGAAGGAGAGGCTTCTTTGACTCCCCAGGGATCAGAATCTGAAGATCAGGGCTGGGATGGGGCTAGGGACACCTTCTCTGCAGGAAGCAGGAGCTTGCCCACCCCCTCCACAGTGGACACATTCCAGGTCAGCAACAGGATCTGTATTGTCATCGATCTGAGGACTCTGCATTTCTCTGCCAGTCCTGCAGCTCTCCCACAGGCAGGAATCATTGAGCCCACCTCTCCTACTTGGCAGTTGAGAGGCCCCGGGCTCTCTGGGCAGGGCACAAGATTACTGGGGCTAACCTTGCTGGCCTCGTTTTTTTTTTTTCTTTTTTTCTTTTTTTTCTTATCTCTCTTGTCATCTTGACATTAGGCTTTTCAAACTGGCAGATTCAGTAACCAACCCCTGACTTCAGCATCTTTTTCAAGTCTCGTTTTCTTGATAGTCTTTTCATCTTTTTTCTTTAAAACCCAGGAAACAAAAGAGAAAGAGTAGAGAAAAGGCCCAAGAAATATAGATAAGTCTGGGCTTCCGATAAGGCCTCTAGAGAAGCAGCAACCATAGCCAGATTACAATGGACAAGAACCAGCATTTTATGCCTTTTTATTTATTTTGTCCAGCTTGGCCAAAATTGTAAAATTTTCCCTGTTGTTAGGGCCTCCCGTCCTATAGGAAGCATCTCTGATTACCCTGAGCCGAGTTAGGGGCACCTCATGGATGCCCACTGGCTTCCATGAAGAGCTCTGCCATCACCACATTGTTTTATGATCATCTTTTAGATCACCCATCTCCCCTCTTACAATGTCAACTTCCTGAGGGCAGGGACTTGTGTCTTATTTATAACCTCTCACCTACCAAAGCGCCTAGCATGTGTAGGCCCTTTGTTGATGAAAGCTGCGTTCATGGATGGATGCATGCATGGATGAAAACCCACATTTCAAGCTGAAGAGACTACTGGTCCCCATCTACATGTGGCTTCCCCTGAGGTTGCTGTATCTCAAGCATGCAGAATTCAGGGTCTGGCTAAGAAGAGAGAGGGGACATAGCCATTAGCAACAGAGAGAAGTGCTAGATAGCAGACAGGCAGAGGCAGGACACCTGAGCAGGGCAGGGGCTTGGCAAGCATCTGGCAAGTGTTGCCTTCACTCCCTGACCTTTCCTTTTTGGATGGAGGCTCGGGTTTCAGCCTGCTGTGAGAGAAGCTGCCCTGTGGTACCAGGAGACAAAGTGCCCTCCTTCCCCTCAGTCACATGCTGTGATCACTCAACTGCAGGGTGAAAGGTCAGACATGGCCTGCAGCCATTGTTCCAAGGAGATTAGTGTCACAGGCAGCCCGTCTCCTCACCTCATTCTCGGGATTTCTCTTTTAATTTCTGAAAGATCCATGCAAAGGAGAAAGGTTAAATATTAGTCAAGAGCTAGGTTCTTACGAAGTTGTGGAGATAAGCTCCACAGGACAGAAGACACCCACAAGATTATTTGACAATGTCCCTTCCTTCAAACATCTCTGATCCCCCCAGGATACTGTGGGCCCGACCTTTTGAAGAAGTTTTTCTGGCTGCCTTGACAAGATCTCTCTTGACAAGAGAATGATTTTGTGTTTTCTATCCCAGCATATGGGGAGGTAGTTACATTCCCCCTTCTGCTTAGTTGTCCTGCTCTGCCCTTTGTTGTCACCCTCCTCCCTCCCTCTCCTCCCCTTGGTGGAGGACAGTTTTCTTCTCCACTGCTTGTTCAGTAATCCTTACCTATCCCTGAGCCACATAGGTTTTGTGTCCTAATCTTCCTTCCTTTCATAAGTCAATCTCTTTTATTTTTTAGCCATTATTGCTTGTGTCTGCCTGAACTCCTGGGACCCTGTGGCCCAGCCTCATCCCTAGCATGCCTTGGGGCCCTGGGGAGAAGCCCAGATCACAGGCCCCCGTTGCTTAGAGTGATTTGGGTTGTTTTGTCACCAGGCATGTGATCCTGAAACCCTTATTGAACTGAGTAAGAGAAAACAAATGTGTATTTATCAGACATCTCAGTCCATCTGGAACATTTGAGTATTTACGAAATGTTCTCCCTGTTCAGGCACTTAAAATCCTTCCTCCAACAACATGTTTTGGTTCTCCTTATATGACACCATCTTGGATAACAGCCCCTCCACGAGGAGTCAAGAGTTTCTACTCTTGAAGTCAAGTTTCCTGTTGCTCTTTTGGCTCCGTGAAACCAACTGAGGATCATGTCTCCTTTTGATGAGTTTCCTGGAGAGCAGGGAGATGGATGTGCATTGTGAAATTTGTCAAATGAGATGAGATTGCAGGGCTAATGAACTGGGGCATTTTCTTTCTCCAGGTATTAAATATTTGCTGAGTACCTACTATTTGCAGGTACCAATAATATGTCCTGGGATTAAAAACATGAAACAGTCAGAGTTCCCGCCCTCCTAGTCTGCAAGGAGACAGAGAAAAAGAAACAGATCCTTATAATACAAAGAAATAAGTGCCAAAATTAGACATAAACAAAGTGGTCCGGGGGGAGAGAAGAGGGACAAACTTTGTTTCTCATCTATAAAACGCAGCTGATACATCTTACCTAGCAAGCATATTGTGAGGAATAAGTAAAATAATAATGACTTACAGAGAAGGTGACATCTGAGCTGGATCTTGAAAGAAGAGAAGGAGTTTGCCAGTTAGAGACGGCACAGAGAGGAAGGTTACAGAAGGTCCTTACCCTGACAAAATGTTCTCAGAATCAAGTAAGGTTGGGAAATATTTGGAAAGCAAATGCACTGTTCCAGGATAAGGTATTGATAGAACTTGATCAGCTGTTCAAGTGAAGTCAGAGGCCCGGTTAGAGGCTTGAGGAGAGAGAAAGAGTCTCACGCTTTTATATGTATGACTTGTACCCTTGGAGGACTAGGGTGCATCCTGGTCACTGTTGCAAAGGAAGGGGAAGCTAGAGGATTTTAAATTTTTTCCCTTTATTCTCAAGCACTTCATAACCACCAGGAGACTGAGCATCTCATTTCTGCAGCACAGGGCTCCCGTGGGTTACGTAGGGAGTGCAACAGTAAAACAAAGGACCTTTCCATCCCAGTGCTCAGCCTCTGAGCTCTCCCCCCAACCTTGGAGGTTCCATGTGGTTGAGAACTCCGTGCCTCCTAGGAAAAGAAGCAGGTTAAAAGCCCCTCATACCACTCAAGAAGATAGAGAGATGGTGGAAATAAGCATATGAAAACACCCTCAACATCATTAGTCACTAAAGAAATGCAAATCAAAGCTACAATGAAATACAACTTCACACTTATTACAATAGCCAGACTATAGAAGCTGTCAATAGCAAATGCTGCAAAGATGCAGAGCAACAGAATCTTGCACACATTGCTGGTGGGAATGCAAAATGATACAGCCACTTTAGAAACAGTTTGGCAGTTTCTCTAAAGTTTAACATACATTTACCACATGACATACATTTATCCCACTCTTGGGTATTTACTCAAGAGGAATGAAAACCCCATTCAAAGACCTCTACAGACTACTTAAAAACTTCTGTGCAAGTGTTTATAGCAGCTTTATTCGTACTAGCCTCAAACTGGGAGCAACCCAAATGTCCGTCAGCTGGCGAATGGAAAGACAAACATATATTCGTATAATGGGAATACTACTTAACAATAAAAAGGAACAAACTACTGATATATACAGCAACATGAATAGATTTCAGAAGTATCATGTTAAGTGGAAGGAGCCCGACACAAAAAGCTACATGTCATATGATTCCATTTATGCGTCGTTCTGGAAAAGGCAAAACTACAGGATAGAAATCAAATTAGTGGTTGCCCAAGGTATGGAAGGGGACTGACGTCACAGAAACAGTGTACAAGAGAACTTTTTGGAGTGTTGGAGGTGTTCTATGTAGAGAGTGTGGTAGTGATTTAACAATGAATACACTTGTCAAATCTCATCAAATTGTATACTTAGAAGAATGAATTTTACTCTATGTACATTATAACTCGATAAGCCTAAGTAACAAAATATTCCCCTAAACCTCTTGTCCCAAAACCAGGATCAGGAAGATGACATCTAGGATCCCACAAGCTGCTCAGGGTGTCCCTTGGACATACAATGACTTGAAAGCAAAGCCCACACGGGTGCCCTGATCAGCTGCTGACTTTCCCCCCAAAGCCAGTTCCATGTCTTCTGGTTTCTAGCCTTGGGCAGGGCGCATTCTGACCAAGCTCTAATTTGTGACACATAATCCCCATGTGTAACCAATTAACCTAACCAGAGTTTTTGGACACTGGGGCTGAGCATGCGGGATATTTGGCTTGTCTGCTACAATCTCGACATCAAGAGCAAGGAGCATTTCCGCTTCTGTGCACAGGGTGTCCTGCAGCCTTATTATGGCCCCTGAGGGTATGTTTGGGGGTCTGTTGTTTCAGTGCTCCTCACATGGGTCAACTGTTCCAGTGTGCGGTGGGCCACCCGGGTTCAAGACATTTTCACAGCCGGGAAGCTCCTGGCCCTGGCCCTGATCATCATCATGGGGGTTGTACAGATCTGCAAAGGTGAGTATCATCGGATCCACAGGGTCTTGCCCGACTTTCCACCCCTTGCATGTACACATGCCCCTCACACTGTCTTATGCAGTCTAAGGCTGAGATTTCCCAATTCTGGCCTTAAATGACTTCTCTTCCTCACTTGTTTGACAAAGGGGAAGAGAAACCATCTTCCCAGAAAGTAGGGCATGCTTTGCCTGTTAGCAGATTCAGTCCTCCCATGCCTATCGTGTGGCTCTGAAGACCCCCAGATCCCTGGACTCCTATTGCCCCAACCCAGGCAAGCTCCCTGCATCTTACACTGTATCTTGTCCATATCTGAAAATGGGTGCTGCAGGAAGAGATTTTATATGTTTTAAAATTACTCACAATCTCTATAAGAGAGAGCTCTACGTTCCTGGGGCCCCTGCCAACATTCCTCGCTGGATTTGGTCCTTTCCAAGCCTGAGTCTCTATTTGGTTTCCATGGGACCCATAGAACCACGAGGCTCTGCCCAGTGTCACTGCCTCCTGGAGAAAGTCAGATGACAAGCAGGAGGCCTCCCACCTCCTCACAAGCCCTGAAAGCAGTATGGGGTGCCTGGATCTTGACCCCAGGAAACATAATTAAGGTTCCGCTATATAAAATGTCCATGTTATTTTAATCAGTTGGATTAAGTTCTTTAGCAGGTTCTGCTGTTTTCAGGAATTTAGACTTAAGCCAATCACTGCGCTATCTTTTCAAAAACAGTGAGTCCGTCCTAATCTGGTCCCAACACCCGTCTCCTGATCACTCTAATCTATTTACTCTTCCAAGGTCAGATCATAGATGAATAAGTAAAGTATGGGCAGGCACTCTGTGTCTCATAGCAACTTCCATCAGCAGCCTTCCTGGAGGGCCCCCTGTGTGGACACTGTGCTAAGGTCTGGGAGGCCAATTTAAAAGCGCTTTGCTGAAGGCCCCAGCCCTCGGGGAGTCTGTGCCATGAAAAAGGAGACCAAACGCACACCTTAGAAAGAGGTGGGAGGAGACTGACGAAGAAAGCAGAACAAGCTCGAACTAATATAGGATTATGGAAGCTTATGTTTGAGTGTTTGTTCTTGATGCTTTCTTCATGAAAATGTACAAACTTAAATAAATATCAGGGAAGGTAGTCAGAAGGCTGCCAAGGGTTCTAATCCTGTATCTCCGAATCCCAGAACGCCAGCTCCACTTTGCCCGGCTAGCTCCAAAGTTGCCCTGCCCTCCCTGATGGCCTTCCCTGGGCCTTTCCTTCCCAATAACTTTGCCTTTGAAAAAAAACATTCAGAACTGTGTTTCAAACCTGAGCCCCCGTTGGACTCATGATTACCAGGTTCTAGGGGGTCTTGGACCTGTATTTTCCTCCTCCTTTTGGTCTCACTTCTCCAGTGCGTGGGGTTCACTGGAGACAAGACAAAGAGATGGATCATCGCCACTGAGAGTGGCAGAGATGGGACCAGCCAGGCCAGGGGCTGCCAGGTCTCTGACTGGTCTCTCTGAGCAGCCTTCTGCCTCTTGTGTCCACAGGAGAATACTACTGGCTGGAGCCAAAGAACGCATTTGAGGTTTTTCAAGAACCCAACATCGGCCTCATTGCACTGGCTTTCCTTCAGGGCTCCTTTGCCTACGGAGGCTGGAACTTTCTTAATTACGTGACTGAGGAACTTGTTGATCCCTACAAGTGAGTCGAAATAGCCCAGCTCTTCCTCTCTCCCTTGAAAGGCCAAGGCACCTGCCATGGGAAAGAGGGAGTCAGGGGTACACTGCCCACATCTCTTCCTCCCAGCCCCCATTCTGACCAAGACCTGATCGATCCTGAAGAAAGTTCATTTTCCAGTAACTTAGACCATTTGCCATCCACTCTGCCAGGAAAAGAAGGATGACCAGGTGACTGTCTCAGAGCAGACTGAAAAACAGAAAATGGTTCTGAGATAACACCACTGCCTTAAAAAATAAAATGTGCCCTGAAAAGTTGTCATACACCTTACTCACCTGTTTCGGGACAGGCAGGTCTTTGTGTCTTGAGGCAATGGAAGGAGTGCATTGTAGAGATTCTGGTCAAGAAGAGATCAACAGGTGTGGAGTATATTTCCAGCCTAAGATGTTTCACTCCCTTTAAATTATCCTGCCCATACTGAGACAAAATCCCCATTCCTGCCCCTCCAGGGAGAGGGAACGTCCCGGAAGGCTGCTAGGTCAGCTTCAGGCAGCAAGACAGAGGGCACTCCCCAGACCCCGTGACGAGGCAGATGGTCCCAGGTGCCAGGCCTTCCCCCTCTCACCTCCTCTCCCTCTACAGGAACCTTCCCAGAGCCATCTTCATCTCCATCCCACTGGTCACATTTGTATATGTCTTTGCCAATGTCGCTTATGTCACTGCAATGTCCCCCCAGGAGCTGCTGGCATCAAACGCAGTCGCTGTGGTAAGAAATCAAACTCTGCAGTCTCTCGAACCAGGAATGTTGACATAGACTTGCCTGCTTAGCCACCCTTACTTTCTCCTGATCCATGGATTTGTAGAATTAGAAGTCATCTCAAGTCCTTAGGGCAGCAACCACATCTTCAAGTTCCCAGGAGCAAACTGACAGCCCCGCTGTACCTAGAATGGCAACAACAGCAGAGCTGAGTAGTTGCCAGAGACTGTATGGCCCGCAAAGCTGAAATATTTCCTATCTGACCCTTTACAGAGGAAGTCTGCCAACTCCTGATCTAGGACAGTTTAAACTCTAAATATGATGATTGTATAAAGGAGACAAGCGCTTCCCCAGAAAGACCTAATTTCGCACAAGATGCACCATTTCCGTCTGCCTCCATTTCTTCCTTTGGAAATTGTGACTCGACTCCTTCTCATTGAAAGTAGGAGTGGGTTGTGCTCTTTGGAGAAAGAGATCATGCAGGTCCAAGGCATTGGGGTCCCTGACATCCAGGAAAGACCTGAGAGCTGTGCCGTTCCCTCACCTGGCTTCACCTGGGCCACGACTTCACCCTGCCAAACAGTGTCATCGCTTGTGTTATCTATGGACTGAAGAAAGAGGCCCTCTAGTGTCCTATAGCAACCTGATCCATGACCACTAGCCTTCCCCAGCAGAACAGCTATTCTGAACAGCTCCCCCAGACGCTGTAAATCAAGCGCATGCTTGGCTCAGAGAATATAGAAGGGGCTGGTGCCTCGACATTTTGTATGACTTTAAAACATGAAGACTAGTCTATAGTTTCACCACCTTTTCTTTCTCAACCTACACAGTAGCCTCTTCTTATCATTTTGCCTCCAATATCATTTGTTTCTATGAACTTAGAAATTCTCACACTAGGAATTAGGATTCATCCCTATTTTACAGATGGGAAAAATGCGGCTCAAAAATTAAGAACCTCGCGCAAGATCTCACAACTCCTAAATGATGGGCTGAGATTGGAGCCCCAACCTGCCTGACTCACTAGTATACAATGTAGTGAAGCCTGGACTCACACAGCCAGCTTCCAGTCCTGACCCTACCTACCACTTCTTGGGTGTGTGACCTTAGGCAAGCTAATGAATTGCTTTGTGCCTTAGTTTCTTCATCCATAAATCGAGGATAACAAATGTTAGTTCATTATTAACAGTATTAGTATTCTCACCATACACTGTCTCCTTCAGTTAGCCCAAAAGACTTATTGGTTGCCCCTGCCGTGTTGTGGTCACTGTCCCTCCTCTCAGGCGTTTAGGTAGAGACTCACTGCTGGGGAGGGAGCATCCCCAGCAGTGATGCTCCAGTGCAGGGTTGTAATTTCTTCTTTTCCACTCACCCCTGGTTTTCTCTCACAGACTTTTGGAGAGAAGCTCCTAGGGGTCATGGCCTGGATCATGCCCATTTCTGTTGCCTTGTCCACATTTGGAGGAGTCAATGGGTCTCTGTTCACCTCCTCCCGGTGAGTGCTATCCAGGCCCTTTCTGAGCCCAGGGCCACTCTGCTGTGCATATTGCTCTGTGTATATGTGGGGGCTTGTCTCCGTCAGCGAAGGTCTGTGTGGGCACCTGGGTGGTGACCTTGCGGGAAGCGATTGCTCACATGAGGGTATGTGTGCATCGGTGTGGATGCAGAGGGCTGTGTGTGCTCACATGGTTACCTATGATGTGTGTGGCTTCATACGTAGTGGTGAGAAGCCTCATCCCACCTCATTTCATTAGGAGCAGGGGCTGAGGAGGCCCCAGGCTGCCTGACACAGTCCCAGGTCTGGGGCTGTGGCTGGCAGCAAGACCGTCTCAGCTGCAGCCCCTTTTCTCTTCTCCTGGAAACAGGCTGTGCTGGCTAGAGAGGAGCCTCATCTGGAAGGGGTCAGAAGGGACCTATGCCGGGGACCTCTGGGCTAGCCTCCCAGGAGAGTTCTAGGACCAGATTGCAGGTGGGACGGGATCATCTCTGAGTGCCCTCTGGGTGCAGGCTCCTCTCTGCTCAGTAGACAGGCAGCTGTGGGAGGTCTTCGCGTAGCCGCCCATGCAACTCAGGTAGAGCATGTTAAGTGAGAGGGCAGGGGAAGAGCAGAAGGAAAGCATTTGTCCAAAGCCACATCCCCCACCCCAAAACTCTCAGGGAAGCCAGAAGCTCAAATGGGCCCAGGAGCCCCTGGCTCCTGCATCCACATATCCAGGAATCTGGCCCTTTTGGTGTCTTTTCTTGCTGTCTCCAGAATGGGCTGTCAAGGCCAGCAGATACTGCACAATTTCCAATGGTGCTGTTCAAGGGGCGTCCTCTGAGGGTTCTTAGAAAGACCCTCTGAACCAAGGGCACAGTCCTACTCAAAAGATACAGCAAAAAGAATAAGTCCCTGAGTTCAGCTGCTTCCGAAGCCACCCATCACATCGGGGAGGAGTTTCTGTGACATGACAAAGGAGTGCCATGTTTTCAGGAACCAAGGCAGGAAAGAGGGAGTGTGGGTATCCCCCGTTCCCCAGGACCCTGTGACACTCATCCACAGCAACCTCATGTGCATGTTACACAGGTGCAGTGGCCACCTGGAGACCCCAGCCAAGGGCGAGCAGTGGAAGAGCAGTGACCTATGAGGCTCTCTGGGATCTGTTGGAGGAGAGTGACTGGCTACAGTCACTTTAGAGTGGGGTTAGTCCCTCAGGCAGGCCAAGCCGCGGTCTGCGTGCATGTGGTGTAGCTGTGTGTGCATGCAGGAGATGCAGCCCGGTGTACTTGGCCTCTAATTCAGAGGCGTGGCGCAGCCACCAGGCCTCCTTTTTTCCTTCTCTCTCTCTCTCTCTCTCTCTCTCTCTCTCTCTCTCTCATGTTTTGGAATATGAAGAGGATGATCCTTCCTGAGGAATAGGAGTGTGTGTGGGTGTGTGTCATGCTTACTGTCCTTGTCTCCTCTGTTGTCAGCTAGCTGGGCAGGGATTGTCTCTTGTGAACTTGACACTTGCAAGTGCTGTTGGACCTGGACAATTCCACTTGGTCCTGGCTGCATGTGAATGCAGGACCCTGACTATGTGCATGATGAGGCCCACAGAGCACCTGGGGCTCAGTTGGGCGCATGAGGCTGCACTGTAGAGAGGCAATGCCGCGTGGCTGCATGAAACTAGTGACACTGGCCTAGGTATTTGATGGTGGCAACTGATGGGGATGTATATGGACGGGTACTTGGAGCTATATTGACTCCCATACTTGTGGTGGGCTGCTACTGTTAGCTCTACTCTCCCCGATACACAAATTACAAAGTAAGTGACAGTTCTCTTCAGAACACCCAGGATGCTGGTTCCGTGCCTTTCTGTCCCCATCACACCATCCCCTTCCTCTCACCCCTTAGGTGCTCCTTTCCCTGCAAAATCCTAGAGAAAAGAAAAAGTGGTCTAATTTGCACTAATATGTAAATGACTCCTAATAGCTTTTCTCTTTTCTCTTGGGAAAGGAAAGGGAAAGAAGGCCTGCTTTTTATGTTAAAATTTCTCTTTTTAAAAATAACTCTTAAACGTCAACATCTTGGTTATAATATTGTATGATAGTTTTGCAGTACATTACCAATAGGAGAAACTGTGTAAACGATACATAGGATTGCTCTGTACTTTTTCTTACAGCTGCATGTGAATCTACAATTATCTCAAAAGAAAAAGTTTGATTTTTTTAAGTTAAAAAAATAATTTTTCTTCTAATTGCAAATTTCCTATTTTAGAATTTTGAATTTTTTTTCTGTAATGTTTAAGAAAATTTAAATCACTCAGGATCCCACCACCCAGAAATAATCAGTTGGTATTTTAATATATATATTTTTACATGCCCCATAAATAATTTTTAAATTAATTGGAATCATACTCTGTGGGATCATACAGTTTTCTATTCTGTTTTTCTTCATTTACCATTATAGTGTGAGCATGTTCTCATGTATCAGTTCTTTTGTAGACTATTATTATGACTGTATAAAATTCCATCTTATGGATATACCATAATTTATGTAATCTCCTACTTTTAGGCATCTAGAATATTTCCAGTTTTTTCTAGCATCAGAATATCTTTGTATATAAACCTTTCACTAACTCTCTATTCATTTCCTTAGGATGGCTTTTTGGGAATATAATAAGCAACTTAAAGATATAAATTTTTAGGTATAATTTCCATATAATAAAATACACAGGTAGCAAGGGTTCAGTTTGATGAGTTTTAGCGATTGTCGACAGACACGTAATTACCACCCACAACAAGATACAGGACATTTCCACATAGCCCCCAAGTTCCTTCATGTCCCTTTCTGGCCCACCACAAATTCCCCACCCCCAGGGGCAACTGCTTTCTGACTAGGATACTAGTGCTTTTAAGGCTTTCCTTGTACGGTTCAGTCCCCGTGTATCCTTTGAGGATGGAAAAGGCACATTTTTAAAGGGATTAAGGCCTAGGCAAAGGAGAGAGTCTGCTCCCACAGCAGCACTCCAGGCTTAACTAAGAGAGACCCACAGAGTGACAGCAGAATCATCAGTAACCCCAAGCCACCCTGGCCACATTCAGGGTCTCCACGCACCCGGGATCCATGCACTTATCCACTGGCTGCCTCTGGTTTGCCTGTACCTGCATTTGTGATTGTGGGTCCTGTGACTATTGGGCTGGAAGATGTGCATGAGAAGGAGGGTACCTGGTTGGAAAGAGGATGCTCCTGTGTGGGCAGAAGGGGTATGGATGAGGGAGCCCGGGCTGGGGAGGGAGCTTCCTTGGGTAGTCCATGGTCCATCCCAGGCTGACCTGCTTTTCTCTCTGCCAGGCTGTTCTTTGCCGGAGCCAGGGAGGGCCACCTTCCCAGCGTGTTGGCCATGATCCACGTGAAGCGCTGCACCCCCATCCCAGCCTTGCTCTTTACGGTAAGGACCCCTCCTTGTGCCAGTCCTACACACACCCTCCGTCTTGTGTTTGCTCTGAGCTGGGAGTTCACCCTTCCCACACACACCCCTGTCACCCTTCTGGTCTGCGCCTAGGGATCACCGGGTCCTAGATAAATGGCAAATGGTATACATAAGCTTTAGTGATATCAAGAGACATAGCAAGAGATATGAGTCCTCAAAGACCTTAAGGCTCTCAGACCAGGTCATTTCTATCCTCCCATCCTTTTGGATCAAATTGAAGTGACTGCCTCAAGATTCTATAAGTTCACAAAGAAATGTTTCCTTTCTGGGCTCTCTTTTACACCTGTTGCCCACAGAGTTGCAAATTTGGGCCTCTGCTCCCAACCAATCACTGCACACCCCACCCCTCCCCATTCATCCTCTTGCCCCAAGAAGCTCTGCCAGTCTCTTGGCAGATGTCATTGAAATTCAGTGTTAAGGGTACACCAAGTAAGAAAAACCAAAAGAAAGGAAGACTAGTGCACTGAAAATGGAGAAAAGGAAAGCTGAGATGGGGAAAAATGGGAGTAAAATGACCCCAGAGTAGAATCATTTAGAAAGAACTAAAAGAAAGAACAAAGATTTGTCTCTATCCAGACTTTTAAGTTATTTTTTTTTATCTTCTGGATCCTGAATAAAATATTGAAAATGACTTTGGTCACCGGAGAAGCAGTTAGACCAGGATAGTGGAGCTCTCGGAAGTCAAGGGCATTCGTCGTTCAATGTTAGGGGGAATTTCAGAGTGTTCAGATACAAGATGAAGGTCATCGTGAAAGGTGACTAGAGAAAACTCAGAACTCCCAGTGGGCCACAGACTTCTTTCAGTTTGAGCCACTGGTGCAGCACTATGACTACAAGGCAAGTCCTGCAAGAATCTGGCTTATTCATCAGAAAGAACGTCACTAGAAGTTCTTTCTGATGGCAGGAACGCTAATCAAAATATTTAATCACTGGTGTGGCATGAGCTTCTAGAGGTGGTGAAGTCCCCATTTTGAGACATCCTTTATGAAATGGCACCATCTGCCTGAGCCAGGCAGCCAGGAGCCTTGACCTGTAAACAACTCCAGTCTTCAAATACCCTTCCTATCACTGATGCGCTTCTCCCTGACCCAGTGCATCTCCACCCTGCTGATGCTGGTCACCAGTGACATATATACACTCATCAACTACGTGGGCTTCATCAACTACCTCTTCTATGGAGTCACAGTTGCCGGACAGATAGTTCTTCGCTGGAAGAAGCCTGACATCCCCCGCCCCATCAAGGTGCGAAAACCTCCCCGTGGGGTTCCCTCTCTTCCTCCTACTGGTTCTAGCTGCAGCTCAGATTTTTTAATCACCTTGTTCTCAGCTGCTGACCACAGATTGTCTCTGTGAAGGTAACAAACCGTTTGGGAAGCAAGGGCCAGTGTGAATGGGGCAGTCATTTATTTCCATTCTCTGCTGGGGATAGGACTGGAGCAAATTGCAGCCGGAGAGATAAGTTAGATTAAATGATACTTTCATTACGTCATTCCTTCTTCGTAAACTCCAGCTGATTGTTCAAGGTTCCCTTATCTCTCCAACATTTCCCCGGGCCCTCTAGTCTGGGCAGTCTCTTCCCTGTCACTCCAAAGAGCTGGGTCCGCTTGTGCTATGTTTCTATCCCAGAATGAGTTTCCTCCTCCCATCTGCCTATCTGAATCTAACCATTTTCCACATAAGCTTCAAGTACCTCCTCTTCTTTGAAGCTTCCCAGTCCACTCCAGCTGTCCATGAGCCTCTTTTTTTTTAAATACTGTGGCCCTTTACATAACAGGGTGCCCAGTGAAACTATTGATTGCTACAAGAAATAACTTTGTGATGGGAATGATGGGATTGCTCAGAACGAAATATGCAAGAGTACTATGGGTTTTTCTGCACATTAGAACATAGCCCTGATTCATTTGAACAATTCTGTTCTGGAAGCAGAAGGAAACTAGATGCTTCTAGAAGATTCTTTCAGCTGAGAAACCAAGGGCTCCCCAAATCTCTGTTTTCCACTGCCACATTGCCACCACTCTTAGAAAACCTGCTACGGGGAAGAGGAGGTAGAATAAGCCCATCTCCCCACCACATGCATACCCTCTGAGAGGAGAGGACTAGGAGAAAAGCAGCTGAATCTAGAGGCTTGACGAGGACTCTACTGAGAACTCCTGCCTGTGGTCAACAAGAAGGAAAGCCCAGACAGAGACGCTTCTTTCTGAACAATGTCAAGGCCCTAGACTACCTTATACTACTTTGCTAGGTTTCTCGGTGTTTCAAGTCTTGGCAGATCCATCTTCTCAAACTGCTTGAGAGAAACAAGTTGGGGTTGATCCTGTGGCCAGTGCCATGTGCCCAGATGAGGGCTCTGCCTAGAAATAGGCAAGGAGCAGGGAGGTTGACTGACCCAGGTCCTTTTCTTCTTGCCCCTTACTCATTTCTCCACCTCTCCCCTACCCTAGGACCTCAGTAAGTATGTACCAAGGTACCAACAAGCCTACCAGTCCCCACAGGCTGCTCTGGCTGCCAGAGGCACACAGCAGGGATGACAGGGCCCCGTTGGATCCCACTCAGGAGGGAGGAGATGGGCAGTGAGGGCCATTCCCTTCTTTGGTCCCCCCTCCTCTTCTTGTCCCACTGCCTAAGTTCACCAGCATTTATTGGCACAGCACTTGCCCTATCAGGGCTCTGGGTGTGGGAGCCACAGAGCTGAGTAAAGCCCAGCCTTGAACTCAAAGATGCTCCTGAAGGGTGAAGAAGAGGGAGGGTGCCCCGATCCTGGGCCAGGGCGTCTACACAGCTAACATAGCCTCTGTTCCGCAGATCAACCTGCTGTTCCCCATCATCTACTTGTTGTTCTGGGCCTTCCTGCTGGTCTTCAGCCTGTGGTCGGAGCCCGTGGTGTGTGGCATCGGCCTGGCCATCATGCTGACAGGCGTGCCCGTCTATTTCCTGGGTGTCTACTGGCAACACAAGCCTAAGTGTTTCAATAACTTTATCAGTGAGTTGTTGAAGGCTCTGGGCGGCTAGAGGGCCTCCTGGTCTGGGGTAGAATGGTCAGCAGTCCGGCAGGGGAGCCCCACCAGAATCAGGAGGCCTGGGCTGGCCGCGGAGTTCTAGGGGAAGAGTTGGGAGCAGGCAAGGGCAGGTGCCTTCCCAGGGACCTCTGAGGAGAGAACAGCTGACATTTCCGCACAAACTGAAGAAAAAGTGATATGATAGCCATCCCATAAAAGCTGTCCTGGGCTGGGTGGAGACCAGTGGAGACCCTGGAATTGGTGGTCAGTGGGCGTGGGGATGGTGGAAAACTGGGGCTTTGATGAGCAAGGGGCAGCTGGCAACACGCTATCCAGAAACACAGGAGGCAGGTGAAATGGCATCTCCTGGAGGAGGTGCCTCCTGAAGGCACCGGCTGCTCTGCCGGGGCGAAACCCGGGAGAGGAGAACAGGGAAGGGCATGGCCAGCCAGGCTGGTGGGGCACTCGGCACTGACCTGGTTTCTGTGTGACCTCTTCCCACAGAGTTGCTAACCCTGGTGAGCCAGAAGATGTGTGTGGTTGTGTACCCTGGTGTGGGTGAGAGCTCGGGGACAGAGGTGATAAATGAGGAACTGGAGGATCAGCAGCAGTTCATCAACCAACCCACCGCCTCCGAGGACAAGGACTCTGTGGAACATCCCCAGCCCTGAGGGCCACCATCTCCTCTCAGCTGCATTCTCCCTCCTTAACCCCCTTCCTGCCCGCCTTCCCTGCCTGGGTCCTCCTAACACACACACACATACGACCTGGGGGTGGGTGGTGAGAAACTATAAACAAAGACACTGACATCTATACCCAAAGAACCAGCCCTTCGCTCCCAGGACCTGTGTCCAAAGCCAGGGCTGCCGTGCTCCGAGCTGTCAGAGTGGAGAAGCAGGAGCACCCTACAGGGCCCCACTCCTGAGCCCACACCCATGCTGCCTCCTCAGAAGCCTGAGTTCAGTACTGCCTGCCCTCCTCATTCCTGACCCCAAGCGAGGCCTCAGCTCCGAGAGAAGTGGCAGCAACGAGCAACAGTGAGCCAGTTCGGGAAGGACAGAAACAAGCAAATCTGTCACTGTTAAAGTCATTTGGAGAGACCCATGTCCCCTCCCTTCACTAGGGACCCAAGAAATCAGAGGCAATGCTTCCTTCTTTCCTCTTCCTCACTTCTCCTCACCATGCCTCTGCCTACCTGAGCCTGGGCTCCCTGTCCAGAGTATGATTCCTATCTGGACGCCACCCCCCACTGAGCTAAGGACCAACGAAGCAGGAGAACTGCCTCTCCCCTGACCCCTAGCCAGGCCTGTGGAACAGATTGGGAAAGGCTCAGATTGCAGAAACCCAGCCCTGCCCCTGCCCCCTGCATCCTTTCCCCAACTGGGTGCCAAAGCTCCCTGAAGCCAAAAAGGTCTCTCTTAAAGACAAAGCAGCTCAGCGCCTTCCCTGTCCCCACCCCATGAGAAGGAGCAGTCACCCTGTCATCTTACAGCTCCCAACACACTCCCATGTAGCCCGCACTGCCTGTGGCCCCATCATGCCCTTTTCCTCCTCTCTGGTCGTTGGCTCTCAGACCAAGGACTGGGTGTGAAGACTCCCCAAACCCTGCAGGCCTGAAACCCGAGCCAAATCAGCCTTAAGTCACTTCCCATCCAAGAACTGGACTTAAAAATACTCCCTTATTTCTAACCTTCAGGGCAGACCTGGTATGAAAAGCTTTCCCATCCCCGCAGAGGTACCCGTCCCAGAATCTCGGAGACGGGGGAGAAAGTATATTCTGCAGGCCAGCTCCTCCCTCCTCCCCCAACTCAGATAACTCCTCCCTCCTATCGGGTCCCACCACTGCCCTATCTCTGGACAGCCTGCAGGGCAGGGTGAGAGGGCAGGGCGAGAGGGCATTGGCAGAGGTCATCCACTTTGGAGGCTCTTGGAGAAGCCCGTTGTCCATGGTATGCCTGCTCTGGCAGAGGCTGCCTTTCACTGTACTCCAAAGGAAGGGAGCAGTGTTTGCCCTGGGCCTGGAGCCTTCCCACCACACCTGTTGTACCAGGAACTAGGATCCTTTTATCCCAAAGCAGGAGTGTCCCCATCTCCCCTACTCCCCATTCTATCTACTTAAACTGGAATACCCAGGGAGCCCTCCTGGCCTGCTCAGGTCTCACAGCTCCCCGCTCAGCCTGTCTGACCCTGCATCGGTGAAATGCCAGGTTTGGTCTGAGTTACGACTCCTTCAGTGTAGATTCTGAGCAGGGCGGAGTTGGCCTCTGGAGGGTCAGGGGACCATCCTTCTGTTCCCACTTCTCATTCCTTCAAAACCCCCCTTTCAGTTATTGTTTTTTTTTTTTAAGTGGATGCCTTACTTTTTGGATAAATATTTTTGAAGCTGGCATTTCTATTTCTTTTGGATTTTTTAATGTAAGGTTGTTTTGGGGGGCAGGAAATTAGTTATACCTTGATAATAATCTGTCTTTGAGTTGGTTTAGGTTTTAGAAGGTTTGTTTGTTTATTTGTTTTGTGGAGGGTTTTTTTCTTTTAATGTAATAAAATTTTAAATGGAATTGAAGTCAGGGGTGGTGATAATTCAATGACCCTCTGAGGCAGAGTCACCAGGCATTTCCTACATTTGCCAGGAGGACTTTGGTGGCCAGCTTCCTTTCAGGGTGGCATTCCCAAAGGCCCTCGCTCTGTCCCAGGGACCGAGTGCCAGCACTTTCAAACAGCCATCTCTCCTTTTGAACCAAAACTCTCATTTCTTCTGTGAAGTCGCAAAGTGTTGTTAAGCTCCTGCTCTGTGCCCTGTGCCGAGAGCCTGCAGACCAGCAGGCCGAAAAGAACCTCACTCTTACTCGAGGTGGGAGCGTGGGCACCAAGTGAGTGGAGGGAGGTGAAGGCACAGGTGGTCCCCAAGGCCCCAGGGAGCAAAGTTCTGGTGCCAGGGCAGCCAAGGCCGAATGGGGAAGGAAGTGACAGTCCAAGCCTATGGAGAGATGCAAAGGGGGACTTGGGATAGCACCCAGCTGGGTCCAAGGGGCTCAATGGGAGGGACCAGGAGGTGGGGTCCACTCAACTGTACAGAGCCTCCAGGAAGGAAGATTTCTAGGTGGAAGACTGGGAGGACTGTTGGACAAAGGAAGGAACGGATAAAGTAGGGACAAGGACCCGGTCCTTTGGGTTAATTGCTAGAGGAAGTTGACAAGATTAGACCCTGTCCTTGCTTGGAGTCCCTCCTATGCGGGCAGCTCTCCCGGCTGCCTGTCCTGGGACGGCATCATTCCAGAGCCAGCACTGCTGACAGACGTGGGCAGGAGCGGGGGCGGGGGTGCAGGAGTGTTAAGACAGCCCCCTCCACCACCTGGGACACTATGAGGACACAGGCAAGCAAGATGCCTCCACTCCCTGTCCTGGCCGGCCCCAGTGCTCCTGCCTTGGTGTTCTTCCAGACTGTGGTTGGAGGTTCATCATTCACAGGGCCACAGACACCTGGCTCCCAGTCAGCCACCAAACAGCTATGTGTCCTTGGGCAAGTCACTTAATCTATTTAGCACTTTGGGGGTTAGGGAAGAGCATTGAACCTAAAACATTCCTCAGTCTCGCAGCCCAAAAGAGCAAGGATAAAACTAGTCAGAGGCCAGTCTCGTGCCAGAGGCCCTTCTCCAAGCTTCATAGCCACCCTTTGGGACCCCTGCTCTCCAATACACACTTTTCCTTTCCTTGGGCTGCACAAGGTCTCCTTTGTGTTGGCCCATTCTGGCCAGTCCAGCCTTCCCAGATCCCCTCTCTGTGGAGACACCTGTCCCTGGGGGCCCCCTCTCTCTCTGTAAGGTGACACTTGCTGATCTTTTCAACTCGGTCAAATGCACAAATGTGGGTCCTCTCCTCAGCAATGTCCATTTATTTTTAACCTGGGCCTTTCCCCCGTCTTAACCCTGTCAGTCACTTTAATGCTAGGAACTCAGATGCTCAGACCTTAGGGAACTTGGGAGTCTTTTAGAGGTCGCTGAAATCATAGCTGCTTAAGCATTCATTTATTGATACAGTCACACAACAAATCTTTTTATAACCATTGTGTCCAAAGATTTTACTGTATAATGTGGAATAGCAAATTTATTCCTGAATATTCCAACTCAGCACAGACTGCAAATATTTTGTTCAATTTTCCCCATAAGAATATTCATACATGTCAATCTACCTGTCCTTAATTTTAATTCAGGCAATATGGTCACTGCAGTTAAAGAGGTCCAAAAGATGGATCCGACCCTACCTCAAGGAGCAGATAGTCTACAAGGGGACAAAGGCAAGAACGCACATAGCACAGATGTGTGCCCTTCACGGCATCACTGACTGCCCAATGCAGCTGGACTTGAGCTGCTGCAGGCAGGGGCCGAACCTGCCAGATCCCCAGAGCCTGCACAGTGCCTGGTACCTGTGTTCAAAAACGCTTGTCAAATTGAAGCATCAGATGAGGCTGCAGACAGTGTAGGAGACACAGATAAACCATAATGGGAGGTCAGAAGAAAGGCAGAAAGAGACTGAACATTGCTTTCCATACATTATCTTATTCAAAGTTTAATTAAACAAGCTGACAAGGTGGGCATGACTGCTGCCATTTTACAAGTAAGGTTAAGTGACTTGCCCAAGGTCATCAGGCTGGTGACAAATACAGGATTTGAGTCTGCTTAGGAGACACAGATAAACCATATTGGGAGGTCAGAAGAAAGGCAGAAAGAGACTGAACATTGCTTTCCATACATTATCTTATTCAAAGTTTAATTAAACAAGCTGACAAGGTGGGCATGACTGCTGCCATTTTACAAGTAAGGTTAAGTGACTTGCCCAAGGTCATCAGGCTGGTGACAAATACAGGATTTGAGTCCAGTTCTCTCTGACACAGTGCAGTGCTCAGCCACCTCCCTGTGGGAAAGACTTGGTGAAAAGGTGGCCTTTGAACTAAGGCTGGTTGCAAAGTCAATTAAAATAATACATATGCATTGCTTCAGTTAATGCAAAGAGGTAGCAACTGCAGGGGCAAGAAGAAAATGATCCCTCTGACCAAGAAGGCTTTCTTTCTGCTCCTGAGCAACTATACAGAACACCTAACAATCCCCCAGCCCTTGACCGGCACTGCCCTCCCCAACCCCCTTCCTGCCCAGCACCCCCTTCTCCCCTGCCCAGACCTCCAGAGCTTCTCTTGCCCAGGCAAACCCCTCGGTTCCTGGAAACACTGATGTCAGTGCTCCAGCAACGTCAGCCACCAGCCTGGGAGGTTAGAGACCAAGATCACTTATCTCCCCATGGCCAGAGCTGCCCGAATTTCTCATTTCCTGCCGGCTCTATTTGCACACTTCCCTGCTTCCTCCAGCGCTGGTTCACTCACTACTGACGCAGTCATCCCCTCCCTCCCCGGGGGTGGCTGACTAAAAGCAAAGAAGGCTCTCTGAGTCACACAGCTCCCCCTTTCCCCATGCCTCCTTGCCTGGTGGTTTCAAGAACCAGCCGATTGTCCTCTCCCCCCAAATCAACGCAGCATACTCGTATGACCTTGGGCGGCTCAGCCTCTCAGCCTGTTTTCTTCGTTTATAAGGCGAGGATAAAAATACTGTCTGTCTTGCTTACCTTCCTACTTAACTCACAGGGAAACTGTCAGCACGGAAAAGTGTGTGTTTCAATGATCGAAAAAGCATAGCGCCAGAAAATGCCAGGCTTTCGCCATCATCGCTAATATTTCAAAGTCAAGGAAGGAGAGAATTTCTCCTCATTGAAACAAGGCCTTGGCCCCAGTCCTCTCAGCCTGTCCACCCTCCCTGTAACTAGACTGCAAGCCCTCATCCCAGCCATGTTTCCTTTTCCTCTTTCCGGAGGGATGGACGCCCAGCCTGGGTCTTGCTGGTGCGAGGACTGTGGGAGGCTGCCCTCTGTCGGCCACCTGATTCCCGACTACAGCAGCCCCTCAAGTCCCGCATTTTGGACCAATATCGCCACCTGGTGGTCAATAGAGACATTGCCACCAAACTAAAGTAGCTCAGCTGTGGGACCTGTTTGCCTCAGGGTCCTTAGAAACGGTGGCGATGGCAGAAGAAATCTCCCCAACTGGTTACCGAGATCTGTCTCTGGAATGCACACAGATCTTCTCATGCCAGGTCAGGATTTTCAGAGAAGGCACCTCAAACCCTGCACAGAAAGCTGCTGGGGTAGTAGGAAGGAAGATAACTAACCAGGGGTGTAACTTGCCTGACTTGTAGGCAGTCCTGTCTGTCTACATTTGGATACTTTCTTTTAGTGTTCAATGCCACACATATCCCCTCTGCATTTGCCCACTGTGGCCTGGCTCATAAAACCTTCAACTCCCTCCCACCCCCGGACACCCACAGCATTTGCTGGCTATAAAAGAGCCGGTGCTATATTTCTATGTGTCCCTTCCTTTTCACTAGACCTATAGTCCCTTTTATAGATGAAATTTGACAGATAAAAGCAGGGTCATAGCCAGTGCCTCTGACAGAAGAGAGCGAAGAGTTCCCAGAGGGGGAAAAAAAAAAGGAGGAGAGAGAAGACCCGGCATGAGACCAAAAATGCAGAGAGCAAGTCCTGGGCTTCTCCTAAGACCCTGAAACAGAGCCCCAGGAAGAGGTGATGACAAAAGACAGGACTTCTCAAGGCTCACAAGAGGAAGTGGACCCAAGAGACACACATTAAGGTCAGAGAACGGCCATGCAGAAGGAAAGACAGCAAACCGAGCTATAGCAAGTGCCTGAGCCCTGCGGCCGAGGCACAGGAAACGGGGCAGAGCCCCAGGACCAGGGTGGGGCAGAGTGCCAGCCTGAGGCTCTGGCAGCACAGGACAGCTGAAAGAGAGAGGTTCTGGAGCCACCAGAGGAGTGCAACCGTAGGCTCCTGGGGCGGCAGCCTGCCTAGGCCTGGGGCACAGGGCCCAAGACCTTACCGGTCACCTTAGCTAAGCCTGGGCACTCAGGAACAGTGCCAGGCTGCTAGAGCCAGCCAGGACTGGCAACATATGAGAATTTTGGCTATTGCACAGACTTTGTGCAAAAACCTAGCAAATGAGCATGCCCTGCACCATGACACCGGCCCCGTGTATGGCTGGGCCCCAGACCTATCGCTACTTCCTGAACCCCTCAAACACCCACTGGACTTCACCCAGGAGGTTGTCTTAGGAGGTGGGGCTACAAAAGGAACTGACTGCCCCTGGGGGTGGGTGGAGCCCAGCCCTGCGGGGTACCATGAGGGAAGCGTGTCAAGGGAGGAGCTCAGCCCAGGCTGGGGGTCGGCACTGGAGGAAGGTGTTCTCAGTCCATTCTGACTTGGCACCTCATTCTGCACAGAGCATTTTGGAAGTCGGAGAGAGGAGGACACTCAGAGGGAGGTGCTGCTCTGAGCAAGGACTCTGGACTCCCCTGGACTCAGCAGGGACAGGAGAGGCATTCCCAGAAGCATCAGCTCCTAGGTGGCTCCGAACTCTGGCTTGGATCCTAACCAGAGAGTGCCCCAACCGCTAAATA